GAACTGGATGATTGGGCTTCAAATCCCACCTCTGACACTTTCTGCCTGTATGACTTTGAGCAAATCACTTCGCTTTTCTCAGCCTCCGTTTCCTCTTTCGCAAGATTAGGGGGTTTGGGCTAGCTGGCCTCTGAGTCGCCTTCCTGGATCTATCTCTTTGATCCGATGATCCCATGAGTCTATTGGCTTCCGGGTTAGGAGGTATCTGCAGTGTGTTCTCAGAGGGCTTAGAACTCTACGTGGATATACAGTGCCCATCTCAGATAGACTTTCTAAACCTATGGGAGACAATAACCATCTTGTTAAGGATTCGTTATTTGTGGGGCTTGGCACATGTGGGGAAGGTGGTAGAGATATGCCCTCTTAGATGCCACTGCCAGGTATACATAGCTTAACTTGGGCAAACCGGAAGGAAACACAACGTACTATTCTGGACAGTACTTTTATGGCAACAAAGAACTGGAAACAAAGCATGTCTCCATTCACAGGGGAAGAGTTAATCAGGTTGGGACAAGAGAAGGCTTTCTGGATAGGGAAACTGCTGAAGAGGGAAGTGCATCCTCAGAAGGACACGTGTTTTGTTTTGTTTTGCTTTGCTTTTTAGTGAGGTAGTCAGGGTTAAGTGACTTGCCCAAGGTCACCCAGCTAGTAAGTGTCAAGTGTCTGAAGCTGGATTTGAATTCAGGTCCTCCCGACTCCAGGGCTAGTGCTCTGTCCACTACGCCATCTAGCTGCCCCGAAAATACATGTGATTTTAGAACAAGGCATTGGAAAGCAAGAAAGTCAGAGCCAGTTCTTAAAGGGTTTCTTCTCTTAATATGTTTGACACTCATTAATGCTAGACAGGCAGAGAGGTAGAGACGCAGACACAGAGACACACAGAGAGGTAGAGAGAGAGACAGAGACAGAGAGAGAGACAGAGACACAGAGAGATGGGAGAAACAGAGACAGACAGACAGACATACAGAGACAGAGACAGAGACAGAGAGCTGGCTTCAAAGTCAGGACAACTGAGTTCAAGTTCTGCCTTTGACCCATACTGATTGTGTGATCCTAGGCAAGTCACCTAACTCCAGTACTCTCTAGGCAATTCTCTACAACTTGAGGCTGCAGAGAAGGTGCCCATCTCCATTGGTAAAGGGAAAGTCTTCACTTGGGAGCTCCTGTACTTCAGAACTCACAGTGCCAGTCCTTGCCCCTAAGTGAAAACAGAGAAGGGGGGGCCAGCTGAACCAAAGGAGCAATAAGTGAGACAAAAGCCACAGACTTTGTTCCTGAGAAAGGAGCAAGTATTTCTTGTCTAGGATTACCTGCCACAGAAGCAGAGAGGAAGGGGAAGTGTGTTGTTCTTGTCTGTGAGACTGGACCAGGCTGCTTCTTGTACCTAAGGCGACAGTCCTCGGAGGAGGCAGAGAGCAAGGGACCCCGAGGAGATGCTGGGGCCAGAGGGTGGGGGACTCTGACTGCCAGGGCTCAGGGAACATGGATGCTTATGGATGCATCATGAACACAATGATTGCCTAGGCAGTCCTGGAAATCATAGAATTCCAGGGTGAGAGCTGGAAGGGACCTGAGAGGCCAGTCAGTCAACTTCTTCATTTTACATAAAAGGAAACAGGCTCAGAGGAGTGAAGTGACCTTCCCAGGAAATGCCATGCCATCCCAGGATCCACTGAAGAAACTGCGGATGTTCAGAAGCCTGGAGGAGTGAGAGTTTGGGGATGGCCGTGTTCAAGTATATGAAAGGCTGTTTCATGGAAGGAAAATGAATTTTTAAGAGCCTGCAAGAAGATCACTTGTTGGAACATTGTATAAAATATTCCTGGTCATGTTTTCCGATTTCTGAAGCCCTTTCCAACTGTGAGATTCTGGGCTTGTCTCATTGGCTATCTATCCACAGTGTCTTTCCCAGACATATACTCATGAATTATCAGAATGGGCCACTTGTCCCAATCTGGGCAATGTACTTTTTCATCCACTTTGGATTTCCATGGAGTATGGTTAGATGGAATTCTTGGGAACAACTGTAGGGGTCACTGTAGAGACTCTAACCTTTCAGAACGCCCTGCAATTAAGTGAATACAATCCATAGGACCATAGCACTAGAGATGGAAGTCTTCAGAGGCCATCCAGTCCAAAGCCCTCATTGTGCAGATGAGGGAACTGGGACATGAAGTGATTTGCCCAAGGTCACACAGTGACCAAGGCTGGATTTGAACTTAGATTTTTTTATTGCAAATTTGCTTCAACAAGTCATTAAGCAGTTGTGCTATTCCAGGCACCAACTGTGCTGTGTGCTAAGGATACAAAGATGAAAACGAAAAGTGCTTGTTGTGCACAAACTAGTATCCTACTTGGGGGGGGGGGGTCCAAGGCTACCCAGATAAGTGTATGCCAAATACATGCAAATTAAATACAAAGTAATCTGTGGAGTGAGGAGCACTAGAAATGAGAAGGGAAGGGAGAGAACCGAAAAAAAGACATCTTATAGGCAGTGCTGTTTGAGCTGAGCCTTGAAAGGATCCATGGGCTCCAAGAGAGAAAAGAAGCAAGAGTGTTTCAGAGACGAGGGATCTCTGGGATGCTGGGTAAGAGGAAGCCAGTTTGGCTGGAACATGGAAGATCAGGGAGAGGGATGCATAACCAGCTTGTGGAGCCAGGTTGGGAAGGACTTTGAATGTCAAACAGAGGAATTTGGAACGTACCCTAACTGGAATAGGGAGCCCCTGAAGATTCCTGAGCAGAGGAATGATGATGAGACCCATGTTTGGGAATGTCAGTTCCACAAATGAGAGGCGAATGCATTGGGGAGTGAAGAAAGACTGACTGATTCAGTGTTGTATGGTAACAGCATGATCCAGTGATTCACTGGGAATGCTTTTGTCAGGAGTCTGGATCATAAATCTTCCAGAACATGGCAAATGACTTGAGTGTCTGTATTTCTCCCTGTTGGCTGCCTTGTTAATACTGATACCACAAAGTTATTTTGACAGGCTTCAAAGCTGGATTCTATTCCACTGAGTTAAACAGGTTTTATTTTTTAATTAACAAAAAATAGAAAAGATTAAAGCATTGAACAAAGATTTAATTGATGATTAAAATTGAATTGAAATCAATGGAAGATAGAAGAACAGATTTAAGGAAGCCAAGTGAGTAGAAAGAGCTAGACTCAGAGCCAAGATGAGGGTTAATAACATCACAAACATCAAGCAGCTGCATGAGCCTCTGAGTGCCTCAGTTTCCTTACTTGAAAAATGAGGGAGCTGACAACTTCTATGCTCACTTCCAGCTCTAAAGCTAAGGATTTAAGCCCTACCCCTGACTTCCATACTGGCTGTGTGACAAACCCCTGTATTTCTCAGTGTCCCCAGGCACCTCTCCAAGACTAGAAATGGCCAAGTGGGGGCAAGATGCCAGTCTGCAGTGGTAGAAGTTATACCTGGCAGTTCCTATACCCATGAAATCAATAGTCCTAGACACAAAAGCAATTTTTAAAAAAAAGCCACAACATGATCTCATCTGCCTTATGTCCATCAGTTCTGCAGCTTGCCATGGAAATCACCTTCCAAAGCTCATCTGTTGCCTTGTTTGCATCAAGCATTCTTTATTGAGAACGCCAACTTCTACCTTGGTAGTTGCTAAGGTCTCAGTGTCCTTTTCCTTTCCTTCCTTTCCTTTTTAGTTGTGTTTATCTTCTTTGTTTGGCCCTCTCTGCTCCCTTTGGCCACCCAGAGCCTTGGGTAACCTAGATAGAGGATGCACCTTTACCCAGATTGGCTTGAGTGGAACCAAGTGCACAGGAATTCATTTTCAAACAGAAGTCTGATCTAGCCGAGTAAAATGGCAATACCCAGAATGAGGAGAATGTCAATCCTATATTTTGTCATACCTGCCCTTGAGAGACTGGGCTTTGGACAGGGGCAAAATCTTGGCTATCCCGAATTTTAATGATGGAAAAGAAATGATCATTTCTCTCAATACCTAGGATGTGAATATGCATAAACACATAGATACAAAGATTCATAGAAACATAGATGCGTATATGTATTCATAGGTACAGATACAGAGATACAAATATGCATAGAAACATAGGTAGATAGATAGATAGATGATATTTACATAGATAGATGAATAGATAGATAGACAGATAATAGGTGGATGATAGATAGATGGATAGATAAACAGATCTTGAGGGGGAGGGAGCGGAAAATACAAAATGTCAAATATAAGTAAATATAATGTAAAACAAAATCTCTTCAATTGGGAAGAACATTGTAACAAATCAGAGGATGGATAAGGGAAAGTCTCCAGGCTTTGAAGGTCCCTGAGGATTCCATAGTTTGGAGGTGAGGAGGAAGTATCTTCCAGACCTGGAGAGTCAATAATGAGAAGGCACAGGGGCAGGAGATGGGATTGTGAACAGAGCAGTTCAAAGGTCAGTTTGACTGAAATAAAACACTCACCCCTCCTCCATCCCTGCATGATGTTGGGGGGTATGGATATTATCTTCCCCATTTTCCAGATACAGAAACCTAAGGCTCAGAGCTGTAGGAGACTGGCCTTGAGTCCCACAGCTAAAGAGGTATCAGAGCCCAGGCTTGCTGGATTGTAAGGCCAGCCCCCTCTCCCACAGACTACTGCACATCTCCCTGCCCACCCTTGTCAGCTCTAAGAATCTCTGTTTCTGTCATCTCGGGCCTCCCTCTTCTGGAGCCCAGAACCAAAAAGCATTTTTTCCTTAGGCCGATGTAGGGATGCTCAAGGACAGCCATGTTAAGGATTGGGGAGGTGGGGTGGGGGCAGAGAGAATGATCTGAAACAAGTGTGGAAACAAAAACATTTTACAAAACAAGGTAGCAGTTCTAAGATCCACCCAACATCAGCCTTGAAGAAGCTGCCACAGCTAAGATGCTTGGCCTTGCCCAGAAGATGCAATGTGGTCCACTGGGCTCCTCTCCTCCCCTCCCTCTGGGAGCAGGCAGCCTCCTCCCTCCCAGGCTGGAGCTTGCCTTCCTCCTCTTCTCTTCCTCCCCCTCCCCCTTCCCTATCCTACCCTGACCACCCAATCACAGCAGACACTAGAGCTAAACTCCCCACATCCATCCCTTCTGCCCCAAGGCAAGCAGGCACAGCCAGAGACTGTGCAGCCACTGACTTTGCCCTGAGTGAGGACACAGCAAAGGCTTTGGGGTATCTCCCCAGGAACCCACTGCTCTCCTAGAAATCTGCTCTACGACTTTGAGAAGTTGGAGGTAAGTACCCAGCCTAAGCCTTTAGAAACCTTGCTGGCCACAAGTCTCCAGGCAAGCAGTCTGGGCTGGGAACAGAGAGCCCAGGGGATGAGCTCTGCCCTGGCTGACTCAAGTGGCAGCAGAACGACTGACTTGTCTACCAGACCAGGGCTGGCTAGGACCAGCTGGCTTCCGTGGCTCTTTAAACCAAATGGATGGCAGACTTGAATGGCTCAGGGAGTTCTGGAACAGTGCCAGGAGCCTAACGGGGGACCGGGAGCTTAGGGGCTTTTCATCACTTTCCCCTTCAGACCCCAAGTCAGTAGAAGTGCCTGGAACACAAGAGTCGGGCGCTGGGCTACCAGCTGGGTACATTTGGGTAAATATTTCCTCTGCAAAGGGCCTCAGTTTCTCCTCTGCAAGATGCTGTCTAAGTTGGTAGTAATAGCTTAGCTGCTTAAAGATGTCCAATGAGGGGCCAATAAAATCAATAACAATTGACATTTGTATATGATACTGACATTTGTAGAGCAGCTTAAAGTCTTCAAAGTGCTTTACCAATGGTCCTCCACTTGGTCCTCAAAACATCCCTGGGACATTATTGTAATATACCTCATCTTGGAGCTGAGAAAATTGAAGCTCAGAGAGATCGAATGATTTTCTCAGGGTAAGATTCAAGCTCAGGTCTTCCTCACTCCAAGTCCGTGAGGATGCACAGCTCTCTGACTGGCTGGTGTCCCAGATCTTACACTTTAAGTTCTGGGTCTGGAAGGTCTCTCCCAGCCCTGAAGTTCAATGTTGTACGTTCTAGGGTTCTTCCCAACTATTACATACTATGTTCTAAGGTCTTTTTCAGCTATTTCTATTATGTTATGTCATGTTATATTATATTATATCATATTATATCATATCATATCATATCATATCATATCATATCATATCATATTATATTATATTATATTATATTATATTATATTATATTATATTATATTATGTTATATTATGTTATATTGTGTTATATTGTGTTATATTGTGTTATGTTATGTTATGTCATGTTATATCATGTCATGTCATATCATATCATATATCATATCATATTATATTATATCATATCATATCATATCACATCACATAATATCATATCATATCATATCACATCACATCACATCACATCATATCATATCATATCATATCATATCATGTTATATCATATTATATCATGTTATGTTGTGTTATGTTATATTATATTATATTATATTATATTATATTATATTATATTATATTAATATTATATATATATATATTATATTATATTATATTATTATTATTATATATATTATATTATATTATATATTATATTATATTATATTATATTATATTATATTATATTATATTATATTATATTATATTATATTATATTCATTATGTTCCGGGGAGAGGAGTGAAGGGGGAAAGGGGACTACAAGCAGGCTACTGTCTTACACAGGCTTTCCTCTTAATGAAATAGAAGATTCTTTGTTTTTACTTCTTTGCATGGGACCCACAAGCAGAATTTTCCTCATTTCCAAAGAATTTAAGATTTGCAAGGTACTTCACATATATTATCTCCTTTGATATTCACAGCAACCCTTGGAGATAGGGGCTATTATTATCCTTATTTTATGGATGAGGACTGAGGCTCAGAAAGCCTGGTGATTTGCTCTTGGAGTCACAGGGCTAGTAAATGTCTGGAGCCAGACTTGGACTCAGGCCTTTCTCTCTTTAAGTATGGCTATACACTCCCCTGTAGTCTTCCTGAGGGCAAGAATCCGCATTTTGTGCTTTTTGTCTACCTGGCCCCATTCTCTGCACACACCAGGCACTAAAAGAATGGCCCTTGTCAGTAAAGTGGAAAGAAAAATGAGGCCCTCTCTGCCTTAAAGGGCTATTTTGGGTTTCTTGGGGTAAATCTCCTGTTGTCTTCCCGGTCTCTTAGTCCCCAGCTTGAAGACACTTCCCTTTCATTGCTGGCCTGAGGGATGGTCTGTCAGGTAGGCAAGATGGTGAGATGTGGCAGCAAAGGCTGGATCTGGCTAGCCCCTTTTTACTTCTAGGGAATTCGCTGTCATCTCCCCTGTTAGGGGGTGAACTCTGTGAGCTCGAGGTTTTTGCCTTTCTTTGTATTCCCAATGCTTGGCACAGTGCCTGGCATATGGTAAGTGCTTAATAAATTCTAGTTGATTTATAGGTACAAATTCATTAAGCATTTATTAAGGGCCTACTGTGTGCAGGGCCCTGCGCCTGAGCTACCAGCCATACAGAGAGGAAAACCAAACAACCCATGCCTTCAAGGACAACATTTACACAGATAAATAAATAGATATTGAGAAAGGAGAAGCAGCCCAGCATGAACTAGTGCACAGCAAGAGAGACAAGGGAGGGTTCGGGGCGGGGGGGGGTGCGGGATCTTCAGCGGAGCTTTAAAGGCAGATGAAGATTGTGAGAAGCCTGAGATGAAGAGGGAGGGCATTCCAGGCAGGGGCTTCACCCTGTGGAAATGCATGGAGGTAGGAGATGGAGCCCCAATTCCATACTCACCTGAGGCAGCTGGCTAAAAAAGAAGGGATGTTCCCTACCCAGAAGGCCATTTGTTAAAACAAAGAACAAAAATGAAGTAAACAAAGCAGTCCAGTAAAATTAACCAACATAGCAATAAAGTCTCACATTATATGCAGTGATGCACGTCACCAGTCTCCATCAGGGACAGTCGCCTCCTTGCTGTTCCTTGTGCAAAACACTCCATCTCCTAACTCAGGGCATTTTCTCTGGCCATCCCCCGTGCCTGGAATGCTCTCCCTCTTTATCTCTACCCCTGGCTTCCTTCAAGTCTCAGCTGGGATCACTCCTTCTACAGGAAGCTCTTCCTGATCCTTCTCAATTCTAGTGCCTTCCCTTGGAAATTATCTCCAACTTACTTTAGTACATAAGTTGTTTGCATGTTGTGTCTCCTATTAGACTGTGTGCTCCCTGAGGGCAGAAACTGTCTTTTGCCTTTCTTTGCATCTCCAGCACTTAGCACAGTGTCTGGGACATGGTAGGCATTAAATAAATATTTACTGACTGAAAAGAAAAAAGAAGGGATGGGAAGAGGTGGAAAGAGCCAGATAAGGAATGGTGCAGACCCTGCTCCCTCTAGGCCGTCTGTAGAGGTTTTCTTGCAGACCTGGAAGGTTTGTCCCTGAGGACGTAGAACCAGACTTTAGCTGCCTAATGCAGATGTTCTGGGTAACTTCCTCCTCTGCAGTGCTCAGAGAAAGGAAGATTGAACTACCTGATGTTCCTTTGAAAGTATGGTTAGTGCCTTCAGTTATCCCCCCAATGGTCTCACACTGGCTCACCACAAAGGGAAACCCCCTTTCCATCCCTGATGAGGATGAAAATGAGAGGAGGAGGAGGAGGAGGAGGATAGTGCTGATACAATGCTTTATGGTTTATGGAAGCTAAGTGCTATTTCTATTGCCATTTTAGAGATGAAGAAACTAAGACTGAGAGAGGTCAGTCAATCAATATTAAGTGCCTACTGCTGGCCAGGCAGTGCTAGAGATTCAAAGAAAGGCAGAAAACAGTCCCTGACCTTGAGGTGCTCACAATCTAATGGGAGAGACAATAAGCAAGCAAATATGTACAGAAAAGCTATATATGGGATAAATAGGAAGCAATGAACAGAGAGAAAGTAGGAGAATTATGAGGAATTGGGAAAGGCTTCCTATCAAAGGTGGGATTTTAGCAGGTTTGGAAGATAGGGAAGACAGGAGGCACAGTTCAGGAGGAAGAGCATTCCAGGAACGGCAGATGAGCCAGAGAAAATGCCCAGAGCCAAAGGATGGCCACTTGTTCTAGGACTGGTGAAGTAATTTAACCTGGGTCACACAGCTATTAAGTGTCTGAGGTAGGATTTGAATTCAGATCTGACTCTCAAATCCCATCTGTCTATCCACTGTCAAAATAGGACAGTGAGTCAGCAACTTTTTAAGGGCTGGAGATCCATTCATTTGAATAATCTCAGCTATAACTTTTTGAAGAACATGAAAAACAAATATTTGATGTTCAACATGCACCAAGTGCCTTTGTTCAGGTTTATAAATTTGAATTGTTTTATTTCATTTATATGTATTAACACATTCAAATGGACAGTCCAAATCTCCTCTTACCACAATGAGTTCTTAAATGAGGTAATTTCCACAACAGAAGGCAGAGAAAGTTTGGGATGAGGGAATTAGGTACAGCTGGGAAGAGGGAAGAGCAAAGAGAAAGCCCTTGGGGAAGATAACTGAGGAAAGGAGGCCCCAGAGAGAGGCTCCCCCAGGGCCTCTGGGACAGGGAAGGGGGAGGAGACACAAAGAGGAGGCTGTGGATTCATTGTTCCTGGGCTGGCAGTCCTGTTCCTTCGATGTAACTGGTTTGTTCTTCAAGAAGATGAATCAACAGCAACATTGCCAACCAGTCAACATTTGACTGGTTTGCCCCAGTGTTTTATCACAAAAGCCAATTCTTTAGGGCTGGGTTTTCACTTGTTTGACTTTATTTAACTAGCCTTCCTCAACAGAAGTTACCAACAGATTCATTTTCTTTGGCTAATGGAGCCCTGGATGAGAAGAGTAGGAATCCCTGCTATCACCCAAAGTTAATGTTGGTTGACCAACTGACTCTCGCACCAATCCTCTGTTTTCTGTCAGAACCCCGGAGTGATCAGTGGTAGATTTAAGAACAAGAGGGAAGCCTATCAATTTGGTTGGGAAGATGGAGCTCCCCGTTGCCCTAAATCTACCCACTGACCGCTGCAGGGGTGTGAGTCAGTCAGTCAGTCAGTCAACAAGCATTTACTTTGTGTGATAGGGTGATAGTGTTTTATTTGTGTGGTAAGAACCTCTGCCTTAGAGTATAGAATGTCTGAGCTGAAAGGACGTCCACCCCTTTGGAGGTTCTCATCTCTGACAGCTAAGTCTCGTTGATATAGCATGAGAATGTCAGCAAAGGGCAGA